TGTGTCTTTTGATTGGGGGATTTAGTTGATTTAAATTTAGGGTTACTGCCATTTGATGTTAATTGGCTGTTTTATCCATTTGTTGATGTAAATTCTTCTTTATGTTGATGCTCTTTACTTTTTGGAATATTTTTAGAAAGGCTAATACTGGTTGTTTCTTTCTGTGTGTAATGCTTCTTTCAGAAGCTCTTGTAAAGCAGGCCTGGTGGTAATAAAATCTCTGAGTACTTGCTTGTTCATAAAAGATTTTATTTTTCCTTCAGTTGTGAAGATTAGTTTGGCTGGATATGAAATTTTGGGCTGAAGGTTCTGTTCTTTAAGGTTGTTGAATATTGGCCCCCACTCTCTTCTGGCTTGTAGAGTTTCTGCTGAGAGATCTGCTGTAAGTCTGATAGGCTTCCCTTTGTGGGTAACCTGACCTTTCTCTCTGGCTGCCCTTAGTATTTTCTCCTTCGTTTCAACCCTGGTGAATCTAACGATTATGGGCCTTGGGGTTGCTCTTCTTGAGGAATATCTTTGTGGTGTTCTCTGTATTACCTGGTGTTGAATACTGACCTGCTTTGCTAGTTTAGGAAAATTTTCCTGAATAATATCCTGAAGGGTATTTTCCAGCTTGGATTCATTCTCTCCGTCGCATTCAGGTACACCTATCAAACGTAAATTTGGTCTTTTCACATAGTCCCACATTTCTTGGAAACTTTGCTCATTCCTTTTTATTCTTTGTTCTCTAATCTTGTCTTCTTGTTTTATTTCATTAAGTTGGGCTTTGACCTCTGATATCCTTTTTTCTGCTTGAACAATTCGAGTGTTTAAACCTGTGCATCCTTCTTGGAGTTCCTGTATTGTATTCTTCAGTGCCATTAATTTACTTATATTCCTCTCTAAGTTGTCTATTCTCAATAGGATTTCATCAAACCTTTTTTCAAAGTTCTTAGTTTCTTTACGTTGGGCTACAGCATGTTTTTTTAACTCACAGAAGTTTCTTATTATCCATTCCTTGAAGCGTGATTCTGTTATTGGGATGCGCTCTTTCTCCATCAAGCCTTGTTCCATTGTTGATGTGGAACTGTGATCATCTTTAGAGGGAGAGGCATTCTGATTTTGAGTATTCTCAGCCTTTTTACACTGGTTTCTTCCCATCATTGTAAATTTATCCTCCTGTCGTCTTTGAAATTACCAACTTTCAGATTAGGTCTCTTGAATGCACGTCCGAGTTGTTAGTTCCCAGGGCCAGAACAGCAGCTTTAAGACTGATGGTGCTTTTCTGCCCAGGATTCTCCTGTCTGGCTTCCTTCTTGTGTCCGAAATAGGCGACTCTGCCTTCCCGGGGCTCCAAACCTCGGTCAGAAGGGGAACCAGCCCTGTATGCTCTGCTCCGAGAGCTGCCGCGCCGAGGTGCCGGCGAAACCACTGCGCCAGCCACAAGAGTCGTGCTGGCGACCCATGCGACTCCTCCACTGGGGATCTTCTGCTCCTTGAGCTACCTGAATTTGTCTGAAAGTGTGGCGTCCTCTAGTTCTCTGTGCTTTAACTGAGAGTTGCAATCCCAAGATGTTAGCAATCAGCTATCTTGGATCCTCCCCGGAAGTTTCTTGAAGAACTAAAGTAGATCTGCCATTCAATCTGACAATCCCACTACTGGCTATCTACTCAAAGGAAAAGAAGTCATTATACAAAACAGATATGAACATGTATATGTTTACTGCAGCACAATTTACAATTGCAAAGATACGGAATCAACCTAAATGCCTGTCAGCTGATGAATGGATAAAGAAAATGTGGTATATGTACACCATGGAATGCTACTCAGCCATAAAAAAGAGCAAATGTCTTCTGCACCAAATTGGATGAAACTGGAGGCCATTGTTCTAAGTGAAGTAACTCAAGAATGGAAAACAAATACCACATGTTCTCACTTATAAGTGGGAGCTAAGCTATGTGTATGCAGCGATATACAAAGTGGCATAATGAACACTTGAGACTCAGAATGGGGAGGGTGGAAGTGGAGTGAAGGATGAAAAACTGCTTCTTGAGTACAAAGAATAGAACTTGGGTGATGGATACACTAAACTTCACCTCTATACAATTCATCCATGTAACCAAAAACCACTTGTACTTCTAAAGCTATTGAAAAAAAAAAAAAATATATATATATGTAAAGATCTTCAGTGTTTAAAAAAAATCAAGTTTTTTAAAAAACTGCCAGACAATGGAACATATTTTAGAGAAAAAAAATGATTGAGTAGTTTCACTGAGGGGAGAAAAACCAGGGCCACTAATTAAGGATTGAAAACTAGCACTGTGGATAGGGAGGAAAGAGTCCACAGGCCTGTGTGTGGGTAAAAACAAGTCCTATGGTTCATTAGTCAATACACAGTTTTCAGTTAGATTCTTTGAGGGTCTGGGATACCTGAATCACTCAAAATGTATGGTCCTAACCAGCCACAGCAGGTTAGAGCCGGTTATGATGAAACACAGTGTTCAGTTTTACTGTTTCCTGAGTAAGTGTTGCTCTTGAAATACTTCCTTTTATACTTTACAATCAAAAGCTGAATTTGCTAATTGAGCACAAAGGTTTCTTGTAGCCAGGCCTCCCTCCCTCCACCTCTGGATAAATGGGCTTCTATGGAAGCTGCTATTTTTTGTTTGTTTGTTGTTTTTGAGACAGGATCTCACTCTGTCACCCAGCCTGTAGTGTAGTGCCACGATCACAGCTAATGGCAGCCTCAGCCTCCCAGGCTCAAGCAATCCTCCCACCTTAGCCTCTGGAGTAACTGGGACTACAGGCATGTGCAATGACGTCCAGCTAAGTTTTTAGATTTTTTGTAGAGATGGGGTCTTATTATGTTGCCCAGGCTGGTCTCAGACGCCTAGCTTCAAGTGATCCTCTGGCTTCAGCCTCCCAAAGTGTTGGGATTACAGGAGTGAGCCATTGTGCCTGGCCTGAAGCCTGAAGCTGTTTTAATGCATGCCTTGTCCACTATTCTTTGGATTTTGCAAATTCCCTTCCTTTATTTAAGACAAATTGCACTTTCCGCAGAATTTCAAAGCTGAGATCTAGTCTTGATCAATATGTGTTTTCTGTAATGCCTTTGTTTCTTCCTTTTTTAAGCTGATGAAGGCAGACTCTCTAATCTCAATGCACCCTTATCTCTTTATTTTCCTTCTAGGCCTTCCTTCACAACCAGGTCTGCACAGTGAAACCTGTCCATAGCCCATCTGTGCCATCTGGGGCTCTCTTAGGGAGATACTGGTTTTGCACTCCGGGTCATTGTTTCTTTTAGGTGCGTAACAGTATAAAATGAAAGCACGTCTGCATTTAATTATGATTCTGTCTTCCTGGCTCCACGTTCACAAATTTCTAAGCCTTTGGAGAGAAGGAATATTTGCTACAAACATTGGCTGCAGTGACGATGTTGTCATCTGCTTTTGATTTCCTAGATGTAGCCGTAAACAGATGCAAAGTGCGGCTAAATGTTTGGGATGGAGTGTTTGGACCACCTGACAGGGTGTAGATAGGACTCTCCACATGTCTGCAGTCATCATTTTATCCATTTTTTTTTAGTTTTTATCTTTAAAAATATGCCTCCTCACTTCTTTTTCTTCTTACACTGGCACAAAACAAATAGAACCTTGACTTTGGTTTCACAGTGTATGTGGTGGATTTCATAGACTTTGTGTTTCATAATACATAAACTTTTGACCATTACAAATAATTATTTTTTTCATCTTTAGGTCATAGAGCTTTCGCGTTGATGTGTTTGAGAGGGGCAGAGAGTAATTACATGGGAGAATATGATGTAAGTAAGGCATGTGCCTTTTCTGCTACAAACCACACACACACCTCCTCTGTCTCCAGCCAATGCGATGCTTTTGACCATACACTTATGTTGAGTCTGTCCATGCAGCCTAGGGTCAGCAACTGCTGAATCATTCTTCCAACTATGATGCTCCCTGGAGGGTTCATTACGGCACTCAAGAGTTTTAATGACTGGCTCTTGTGGCATCTTTTGCGTGTCATGGACTTCAGCTGCTCCAGATCCTTTCCAACAGACCCTTTCTAATATCCTACTTTCCCTTGCTCAAGGTTTACTTCAGGGTTAGTACTGAGGACACTCAAATATCAGAAGCTCAGATGTTTGAGGAATGCAAGTCGTTATAAGATAGGGTGCTTTCTTGCACTCAATTTAACTTCAGACATCAAGACTTGTGTTGTTAGGGTTCTTGCCAACAGAACAATATACAGAATAATCTGTAAACCTAACAGTGCGATCCTACAGCAAGAGATGGCGTGTTCAAAACACCACTAAAGGCAGCCATAAAATCAGGGTCTATTTTGAAAATTGTGACTGATATTTATTAAACTACTATCAACCAGTGATACAGTAATAAAAAAGTCAGAAATGATGTTCATTGTCAAGTAATTCCTTCTCTCAGGATAATAAAAGGCAAGCTTAGAGTACTTTTTGTCAGATGACCTCAGGGTTTTATAAGTAGTAACACATTAAATTTCATAAGGTATAAGGGTTAAGAAAACAATCTGGTCATTTCTCTGTGTAGCCTGTCTGGTTATCTGTTTATTATTCCTACTTTTTAACTTATTTATTTATGGAGACAAGATCTTGCTGTATTGCCCAGGTTGGAGTGCAGTGAGCTATCATCAGTGGACTGGTCAACCTCCTGGGCTCAACTGATCCTCCCACTTCAACCTCCCCAGTAGCTGGTACTACAGGTGTGCACCACTATGTCCAGCTATTTTTAATCTTTTTTGCAAAGATGGGGTCTCACTATATTGCCCAGGCTGGTCTCAAACTCCTGGGATTAAGAGATCCTCCTGCTTCAGCCTTTCAGAGGTCTGAACTTATAGGTGTGAGTCACCACCCCAAGCCATCCATGTCTTTCTTTTCTTCTTTCTTCCTTCCTTCCTTCCTCTCCCTCTCTCTCTTTCTTTCCTTCCTCCCTCCCTCCTTCCCTCCCTCCCTCCCTTGCCTTTCTTTTTTCTTTGTTTTTGAGACAGAGTCTTGCTCTGTCACCCAAGCTGGAGTGCAGTGGCACGATCTTGGCTCACTGCAACCTCTGCCTCCTGGGTTCAAGAGATTCTCTTGCCTCAGCCTCCTGAGTAGCTGGGATTACAGGCACTTACCACCATACCTGGCTAATATTTTTTATTTTTAGTAGAGATGGGGTTTTGCCATGTTGCCCAGGCTGGTCTTGAACTCCTGAGCTCAGGCAATCCACCTGCCTTGGCCTCCTGATGTGTTAGGATTACAGGTGTGAGCCACCGTGCCTGGCCCCAAGCTGTATTTCTATCTTTAATCTGTTTATCTTCTCTGTGTCTCAATTTGTTCCTGCAAAAAGTCACTGGGTCCAAGGCAAAACTGTGGTATAGGTGAAGTTTGAATTTGATGGCTTCCACCTCTTCCTCATCTTCAGGAATGAAGGGGGTCCTCGGGTTGGGGTGAAGAATGAATGTAGGGGTCCTCAGGTTGGGGTGAAGAGAAGTGAGAGGACCCGATTCTGGCTCTCAGCTACTGAATAATGTAATGAAGGTGTTACCTGAGATGCTTATGTATGACCCCTCCTAGGAATATATGTATATTTATTTATAAATTTTTACTTTGATATAACATTAAGTTGTAGAAAGTTACAAAAATAGTATAAATAAGTCCAGTTTACCCTTTACCCAGATTTTGCCCTATTTAGTTTGTCATGCACTTGCTCTTTATTTACATGTGTATATGAATATATATAATATATATTTTTTCTGGCCCATTTCAGAGTAAGTTGCAGACATCATGCCTCTTTACCAGTAAATACTCAACATGTATTTTCTAAGGCAGAAAAGAAATCTCTGATGTAAGAGATTACATAATTGCAGTCTAATGATCAAAACAAGGAAATTTAACATTGATACAATATTCTTATTTATATTGTTTATGACCCATATTAAATTTCATAAATTGTCTCCATAATGTTTTTTAAGCCTTTTCTGTCTGTTCTAAGACCCAATCCAGGAACACTCTTCATACTTAGTTGGCGTGTCTCTTTAGCCTTCTTTAAACTGGAACAGTTCTTTAGTCCTTAACTCTCATGATCTTGATATTTTGAAAAGGCCAGTTATTGTAGATTGTTTTTTAGTTGGAGTTTGCCTCATGTTTCCTTGTGGTTAGATTCAAGGTATGTGTTTTTGATAGGAATGCCACAGAAGTGATGTCGAGTCTTTCCTGGTGTGCATGATGGGGGTGATATATCTTTTTTTTTTTTTGAGATAGCGTTTCACTCTTGTTGCCCAGGCTGGAGTGCAATGGTCTCAGCTCACTGCAACTTCCACCTCCCAGGTTCAAGTGATTCTCCTGCCTCAGCCACCCGAGTAGCAGGGATTACAGGCACACGCCACCATGCCCAGCTAATTTTGTATTTTTAGTAGAGACGGGGTTTCTCCATGTTGATCAGGCTGGTCTTGAACTCCTGACCTCAGGTGATCTGCCCCACCTTGGCCTCTCAAAGTGGTGGGAATATAGACATAAGCCACTGTGCCCTGCAATATATCTATTTTTTAAAACTCGTTTTGAGAATATGGGAAGGTACTCAAGTCCTAAAGGAAAACATATTTAAAAATGAAATGGAATGGTATGTGCATTTGAGCCAGGGATCTGATCAAATTCTCTCTCAGACCCCTCAAGGCAAATCGTCATTTACTCTGCTTATTGTAATATGGTTTGTCCTGGTATTAACTCATCTATTCATTCACTTGCTTGTTCAATCATTTAGTCAAATGTCGATTGAACACCTCCTGGGTGCCAGAAAATTGTTGCGGGTGCTGAGAATAAGCAGAAAATACAAAAAGAGAAACAAAACCCACCAATCCTCATGAGCTTCTATTCTAGTAGGAAAAATATACAATAAACAAATGAAATCAGTTATACAGTATGTTAAAAGGGAAAAGGGTCATGGAGAAAACATAAAGCAGGGAAGACATGACAGGAAGTGCCAGAAAACGCTATAAGGTTAAAAGAGGTGGTCAAGGAAGGTCTTCCTGAGAGGACAGCGTGGTAAACCACAGGCCCCCAAGCTGAGCCATGTGACTCCTGGCTTCTTTTGAGGATGCAGAGTTTAAAAGGGCTTTAAGAGAAACACAATACAAATTCTAATATTGTGTCATCTGTCATTTACCCAATCAGTAAGTTGTTTCACATATCAGGGGCCAGCCAGACAAGAGAAAGGCAACAGTGTTTGTTATTCATTGATATTTAGAATACTGGGTGGGATGGGATTGGAAAAAATGGAGCCCCAGTACAAAGCTTCAGAGAATTAAGCTAGTGCCTGCTACTTAGCTAAGCTAGTGCTTGCTACTTTGTTTGTCCCTTATGACAAAGATAGGATAAGGGACAAAAATATGGAGGGCTAGCAGGAATCATCTGGGCAAATTTTGAACTGCTAGCAGAAAGGAAGCTATACAATAAACATATAATGCCTGTGTTGTACATTGTAGTCTTACGATTTTGTACTTTAAGAAGTAAATCGTTTGTTTATGTTGCTTACATAGCTATCACCGCTTTCCCCAGGTCTGGCTCAAGGATGGGAAAATCCTCTGCCAACATCATGCGCAAGAAGGACGTTCATCTTGCCTCCAAATCCAATGTTAAAAGGCTCATGCCTGTAATCCCAGCACTTTGGGAGGCTGAGGCGGGCGGATCACTTGAGGCCAGGAGTTCGAGACCAGCTTGGCCAACATGATGAACCATCATCTCTTATAAAAATGCAAAAAATAAGCCAGGCATGGTGTCATGCTCCTGTGGTCCAGCTACTGCAGAGGCTAGACAGGAGAATCACTTGAACCTGAGAGGTGGAGGTTGCAGTGAGCCAAGATGGCGCCACTGCACTCCAGCTTGGGTGACAGAGATTCTTATCTGAAAAAACAAAGTATGAATGGTAGAACAGAAAATATCTTATGATAAGAAGAAACAAGAAGAATGAATGTAGCAGTGTCTTAAAGAATAAGAATCATATGAAAATAGATTGCTTATGGGAGATGAATGTGTGAAGAACAGTCTTAATTTCATGTATGGGGCCCCACTAGGAGTTAAAAAAGGAAACAGAAGAAAAAGAAAACAGGAGAGAATGAAGACAAATTTAAATGGCAAACAGAAGCCCCACAAGAAAAATATGCCAAAGATGACATAAACATAAAAAATCAGGTATTCAGGTTAGAACTGTGAACTGCATTAAGTGTGACAAATGGGGTCATGTCAACGTGGACTGAGAAGGTCCTTTGTTTGGTCTTTCAGGAATCAATGCAAGTTCAGTTCCTACTGAAGACACAGGTAGACACTAGACAGAATTTACATAGAGTACAAACAAAGAAATAAAATAACATTTCTCTCCCTCTCTCTTTTTTTTTTTTGAGACAAAGTCTCACTCTGTCACCAGGCTGGAGTGCAGTGGTGCAATCTTGGCTCACTGCGACCTCTGCCTCCAGGGTTCAAGTGATTCTCCTGCCTCAGCCTCCTGAGTAGCTGGCACTACAGGCATGCACCACCACACCCAGCTAATTATTTTTTGTATTTTTAGTAGAGACGAGGTTTCACTATGTTGGCCAGGATGGTCTCAATTTCTTCACCTTGTGATCTGCTAGCCTCAGCCTTCCAAAGTGTTGGGATTCCAGGCATGAGCCACTGCACCTGGCCAAGTTTTTTTTTTTTTTTTCCCCCAAAGGAAAAAGATTTAATATAAAGATTCAAGATTCAGACATGACAAATGATACAAATTTGTGAAATATCCTTTTCTCTTCCTTTTTGTAGATGGTTTTACCACGCTGCCCAGGATGGCCTCAAACTCCTGGACTCAAGTGATCTACCTGCCTGGCCACGTTTCTCTTTATTCTCTCAGTTAAAAAAAAAAAAAGAAGTAAATAGATTTTAATTTTCAGACTGCGTGGAGCAATTGCTTTTGACATTTGGCATAAGAAGGAGACTTTGGCTTCACGTCACCAAGTCTCAGAACTGAATCTGTTTATGTCCACATATCCTGGAACAGAAACTGCATATAGGATGATACTGGTCAAGAGATCCTCTTGCTTGGTGGAAAATGAATCTTTCAGTGGACTTGTTTAGCTAAGTCTCTGCCTGCCTTTTGCTGTCTGTAAGGAGAGGCAGTTAGAGAGCTTCCTCCTCCTCCTTATCCTTGCTGCTCTGCAAGCTGCCTCCTCCCCGGCACTCTCATTTCTGCCTTTGGCTGTTCCTCAATCCTATGTGGCTCTCTAGGCTTGTCATGCTCTTGTGTTACAAATTCATAGCCACTTCCCTTTTTTATTTTCTTTTGAGATGGTTTCGCTCTTGTTGCCCAGGCTGGAGTGCAATGGTGTGATCCCGGCTCACTGCAACCTCTGCCTCCTTGGTTCAAGCGATTCTCCCTCAGTCTCCCGAGTAGCTGGGATTACAAGCATGCAGCACCATGCCCAGCTAATTATTTGCACTTCCAGTAGAGATGGGGTTTCACTATTTTTGCCAGGATAATCTTGATCTCTTGACCTTGTGAACTGCCCACCTCAGCCTCCCAAAGTGCTAGGATTACAGGCATGAGCCACCACGCCTGGCCAACTTCCCACTTTTTATCTTTTAAATCCTGGGAAGAATTATCTCTTAAAGACTGGGAAGAATGTCATTTTCCTGTGGTTCTTCTCAATTTGTGGGTACAAAACCGGATGTCACAATTGGTTTATGCAGGATATGTCCTGTAACACTGGGTCTTCAGGTAGGCAGAAGGTGGGGCAATGCTGAAATTGAATTCTAAGAATGTAGAACACTCACTCCAGATCTTCCTGTATTCCTGCCCACTTTGTCACAGGCAGAACAGTGTAGGAGTGGAGCTGTGCTCTCCAGAGCCGCACTGCCTGGTTTGAATCCTGGCCCCATTGTGAACTATCTGGGTGACTTCGGGAAGTTACTTCACCTTTCTGTACCTTAGTGTCTCAGATATAAAGTGAAGGTGGTAAGAGTTCATTTCCCCTTGTAAGCTTGTTATAAGGACTAGATGGTTTAATATTGGAAAATCCCTTAGTGCAGAGCCTAGACATAGTAGTAGCGATATTGTTTGTTGATTAAACAAAGTTTGTTTTGAGAGGTTGGTTTGTGGGATAGAAAGGTTTGGTTTAGGGTAGCGATTGGTCCTTGTTCATCATAATGAGACCTCGGAGCCAAACTTCAGTGTCCAGAGGCAGCCTCTTAACTACAGCACATCCCATAAGGATGGGTATAATACAATATCCTACAACAAAGTTCACTGAATTTTCTGAACAGCGTTGCAACTCATACAAGAGCCACATGGCACAGCAGAATAAATGGAAATACTAATAATCAGAAAATACAGATAACTAACTCATATGGTTCATGTAATCTTCCTTAATCCTCCAACAACCCTTGGAGGTTGGTGTGGCCCGTGCTGCTGATCAAACACTGATATTCATTTTCCTTTCTTTTATAATAGAATGCCTGAGTTTTGCCAAGCACATGGTCACCCAGCCAATGACTACATCTCCCAGTTTCCTGTGTAGCTAGGCATGGCCATGTGACTAAATTCTGATCAATGAAATGTGAGTAGGAATAAAGTATGTTATTTCCATGTTGTGCCCTAAAAAGGAAAGGACATGGGCTCCCTTTGCTCCTTTGTCCCCTTCCCACTGGCTGGCATGCAGTTATGATCAAGTGAGCTACTGCAGCTACCTTGGACTCAGAGATGGAAGCACAGTATTGAGGATGGCAGAGCTGCCTATCCAGCCCTGTACCATTTAGGTCTGAGATGCTTTATTGTGAGAGAAATAAACTTTGATCTTGTTTAAGCTATTTTGTTGTTTTTTGGGGGGGCTGTTTTTGTTATAGCAGATTAGATGATACCTAATATGGTGGCATGTGCCTGTAATCCCAGCTACTCAGGAGGCTGAGGCGGGAGAATTGCTTGAACCCAGGAGGCAGAGGTTGCGGTGAGCCAAGATCACGCCATTGCACTCCAGCCTGGGTAACGAGCGAAATTCCATCTCAAAAAAAAAAAAAAAGAAAAAAAAGATCATACCTAATAAAGAAGGTGTTACTATCTCCATTTTACAAAAGCAGAATGGTAGCCTAGAACAACTGAGTGACTTGCCCAAGGTCACACAGTTTGTAAATGTCTATGGTGGGATTTGACCCGTAGTGCTTGGGTGCTAGCTCTGGGACTGTTAACCATATACCATGCTAATTTGCTTCTTGAGCCCTGCTAGGTAATGATCTGGGTTTATGGGAAAGAAAGGGAGAAGAGAGACGTTTGTTCCACTCTCCCTAGTTGACCATTCCTGGCTATGATCCACGGTTCCACCCAAACACATATATTTTATAACTATTCATTTCTCCACAGATGCATAATTGTGTGCTCTCAGTCCATAACGAATGTGTTGATTGTCTATGAGGTTTGACTTTTTTTTTATATTGTCAGAGTGCAAGAACCCATGTCTGGTTATTGCAAACAGACTTAAACCCAGGGTCAAATCCAGGTGCAACATTTAACAGCATACACAAGGGAGGCAAGCAAAACACCTCTAAGACAGCAGCACTGGAAAATAACTTCAATCCAAGCATGTCAATCCCAGTAGTTAAACCTGACTGGTTGATGCACGCCTTGCAGGAGCTCAGCGGCAAGGAGGGAATGTGAGTGAGCCGCAGGAGCTTAGTGGAGAGGCCACAGAGGCCAGTGGACCTGCACAGACTTGAAAAAGGCTCAACACCAGTTGTAAAATATTTGCTTGCTACCCAGTCCTACTCAAGCCATTGCCACACCATCATTAATGAAGTCGGACTTTTAAGGAAAAGTGGTAACAATTTGTTTCGATTTTTGTGGTAACAGGGTGGATCATATAATGCTCACTCCTGACAACACACCTAACACCTATTCATTTTTTTCAGCTTCACTCAAAGCCTCCAGGACCTAGCAGGTTCAAGTTAGGTGACCTTCTTAGGTGTTCCTAACAACAGCTGGTCTTCCCCCGTCAGCACTTTTTCCCTGTGTTATTGCCTCATTATTTGTCTATGTCCACCTTCTCCCCTGCTGTACTCCCAGAGCCCAGCAGGCAGGGGGCCCAGGACTCAGCAGACATTCTGTAGATTGGATGATTGGATGAGTCCCATGGTGTGGTGGTTATGGCTGAACATAACATAAGAGGCCTTCTCCGTCAGAAGAATGTAATGAAATACGCAGTTGATAAACACCTAGAATTCAGGTATTCACCTGTCTTGAAAACTGCACTTCCAATCCACACTCTTAGTGCCAGTGAGAGTATAAACTAGCTTGAGCATTGCAGAAAAAAACCTGACAATATGTCACAAGACCCTTAAAACATTCAAATGATTCGAACCAAAAATAACCTCTCAAAATAGGCCCTGAGGAAATAAATACAAATGTAGAGGAAGGATGTCATTGTACTGTTATAGAAGAAAACCATTTAAATGTTCTTAGTAAAAGGGTATGTAAATAAAGGAATATCCTTTGATTGCAAATTGTGCAGCCATAGGAGAAAAATATCACCTTTTGGAAGAAGACTTAATGACCTGCAAAGAATTTTTTCTGATAATGTTAGGTGGAAAAAGCAGGATATAAGATTATATATTCTGCAGAAGCCTTTGTAAAACACTCTCTCTCTCTCTCTCTCACACACACACACACACACACACACTCCTTTATATACATATAAGAGAGAAAATATTGGTAAAAATGTTATCTATTTATAATCATCTTTGAATGATTGTTTGATATTTTATCCTGCATTTTCCAAGCCTCCATTAGTAAGTATAAAAAGAAAGTTAAGGAAAAAACAAATTCCCAATTCTCTTTTCTATTTTTTTTTAAATTGTTGTTGTTTTGAGATGGAGTCTCGCTCTGTCCCCAGGGCTGGAGTGCAGTGGTGTGACCCCTGGCTCACTGCAACCTCTGCTTCTCAGGTTCAAGAGATTCTCCTGCCTCAGCCTCCTGAGTAGTTGGGACTACAGGCACGCACCACCATGCCACCAGGCCTGGCCTATGTTTCATTTTTTGCAAACTCCAGATCAGTAGCACGGCACGCAAGGCCGAGGGGGTAAAAGGAACATCCATTTCTTCCCCTCAGGATAGCTCATGTTGTGGGCATCACCAGACACCAGGGACATCTAGGCTGCCTCCTCCCAAGTAAGTATTCATATTAAAGCGGGAAAGATATGGTGCAGCAAAATAGGCAGAGCACGGGGTTTGTGCTGCTACTGGATATAACACCACTGCAACTTTTTAAAGCAAATTCCACCTCTTCTTTTGCCTGCTCAAGCCTGTTCCACAGTGAGTAGGAGTCACGAAGCTGTGATGTTTACTCTCTTCTCTTAAAGCCAACAGCCAATACTGAATTGTAACTCTCTTTTTTTCTTGATATGTTCTTTTTTCCTCCTTTTTGCCTAACTCTGAATTTGCCTCACAAGGCCACTGTGAAAAGAATGAAACTGAAATCTGTAGAACATTCTCAGCCTCTCCAAGGATGGGTGGAATCAGAACAGAATAATTACCTTGTGCTGTTTTGTATGCCTGTCAACCAATAAAACATAACATTCATTCTCTCCATTCTTTTCTTGCAATACTGATGAAATAAAATTTGTCTACAAAGATTCCTAGTTGAGTACTCAAATGCTTTTCTTGAACATTTGTTATATGGTCTACTTTGTAAGCTTGGCTTCAAATTTGGTGATATCAGGATTAATAACTGTATGTCTTGCACCAGTACATTTATTTCATTGAGTTCTGAAAATCAGAGAACAGCATTTTTTAAAATAACAATTTTATTCATATCAATAAAAATACCCATAAATTCATATGACTAAAATGTTAAAACCTAGAACCTAATTTATTTACCTAACCAATCACTTGCAATTACCTTTAGGTAATCAAACAGATTTGGTTTCAAGTATTTTTAAACTAGGGCTGATTTTTAGAAGTGTTTTCATTTAAACTATAATTAAAGTATAGTCATTATAGTCATAAAGCCAATAGAACTTCCACCTAACATGTGACTTTTTAAAATTTTTAATTTTTTTGAGATGGAGTCTCACTTTGTCATACAAGCTGGAGTGCAGTGGTGTGATCTTGGTTCACTGCAACCTCTGCTTCTCACGTTCAAGAGATTCTCCTGCCTCAGCCTCCTGAGTAGTTGGGACTACAGGCATGCACCACCATGCCCAGCTAATTTGTGTATTTTTGGTAGAGACAGGGTTTTGCAAGTTGGCCAGGCTGGTCTTGAACTCCTGGCCACAAGTAAGCCTCCTGCTTCGGCCTCTCAAAGTGTTGGGATTACAGGCATTAGCCCAGCCTCTTATGTAATATTATAACTTTATCGTCAGCCCGCATAGCCAATACAATTCTAAGCAAAAAGAACAAAGCTGGAGGCATCACACTACCTGACTTCAAGCTATACTGTGAGGCTACAGTAATCAAAACAGCATGGTACTGGTACCAAAACAGAGATATAGACCAATGGAACAGAACAGAGGCCTCAGAGGCAATGCCACACATCTACAACCATCTGATCTTTCACGAAGTTGACAAAAACAAGCAATGAGGAAAGGATTCCTTGTTTAATAAATGGTGATGGGAAAACTGGCTAGCCATGTGCAGAAAGCAAAAACTGGACCCCTTTTTGATACCTTACACTAAAATTAACTCCAGATGGATTAAAGACTTAAACTTAAGGCCTAACACCATAAAAAACCTAGAAGAAAACCTAGGCAAAACCATTCAGGACATAGGTATAGGCAAGGACTTCATGACTAAAACACCAAAAGCATTGGCAACAAAAGCCAAAATAGACAAATGGGATCTAATTAAACTCCAGAGCTTCTGCACAGCAAAAGAAACAATCATTAGAATGAACCAACAACCAACAGAATGGGAAAAAATTTTTGCAATCTACCCATCTGACCAAGAGCTAATATCCAGAATCTACAAAGAACTAAAACAGATTTACAAGAAAAAAACAAACAAACCCATTCAAAAGTGGGCAAAGGACATGAACAGACACTCTTCAAAAGAAGACATTTATGAGGCCAACAAACATATGAAAAAATGCTCATCATCACTGGTCATTAGAGAAATGCAAATCAAAACCACATTGAGATACCATCTCACGCCAGTTAGAATGGCGATCATTAAAAAATCTGGAGACAACAGATGCTGGAGAGGATGTGGAGAAATAGGAACACTTTTACACTGCTGGTGGGAGTGTAAATTAGTTCAACCATTGTGGAAGACACTGTGGCAATTCCTCAAGGGCCTAGAAATAGAAATTCCATTTGACCCAGCAATCCCATTACTGGGTACATATCCAAAGGATTATAAATCATTCTATTATAAAGACACATGCTCAAGTATATTCATTGTGACCCTGTTTACAATAGCAAAGACCTGGAACCAACCCAAATGCCCATCAATGATAGACTGGACAAGGAAAATGTGGCACATATACACCATGGAATACTGTGCAGCCATAAAAAATAATGAGCTTGTGTCCTTTGTAGGGAAATGGATGAATCTGGAAACTATCATTCTTAGCAAACTGACACAAGAACAGAAAATGAAATATTCCATGTTCTCACTCATAGTCAGGTGTTGAACAATGAGAACAGATGGACACAGGGAGGGGAGCATCACACACTGGGGTATGTTGGTGGCGAATAGGGGAGGGACAGCTGGGGGTAGGGAGGTTGGGGAGGGATAACATGGGGAGAAATGCCAGATGTAGGTGATGGGGGGATGGAGGCAGCAAACTGCATTGTCATGTATGTACCTATGCAACAATCCTGCATGTTTTCCACATGTACCCCAGAACCTAAAGTGCAATAAAATATGTGTGTGTGTGTGTATATATATATATATATATATATATATATATATATATAAATTTATTGTCATTACTTGTACGCCTGCCCTTTATTTTAAAATACAAGGTATGATAAGATCAGAAACCAATCTTTTTTCTCCATTTCTTTCTCTGGAAATAATTCCTTAGAGTCCAAACCCATAGTAACAAAAATACAGGAAAAAAACCCCACACATGTTGCCCAGTGTTTATATAATGAACAAAGGTTAATATAACTCCAGGTCTCTTCTTATTTATTTTGTTGATATTTGTGTTGGTTAGTTAAGAAGATGATGTTTGATTCTTTCAACATTTGTTTATTCAACAAACTGTGGGCTTTGGAGATCAGCAGCTGAGGCTAGAATCCTGGCTGTAGCCCTTAATAACTGTGTAACTTTGGGCAAGTTATTTAACCTTCCTGTACCTGTATTTCCTAATCTGAACAATGAAGATAATATTAGTATCTAACTCATAGAGTTGTTGGGAGGGTTAACTATGCAAATACACGAAAAGCTTATACCAGTCCCTGGTATATAGTAAGTGCTCAAAAAATTATAAATGGGAGGATTCCGACCCACGTGGAGTTTACAGTCTTGGCAGTACAGATCTTGTAGGTAGAAAAAGACACCAAATCACACAGCTAACAGCATCTTTACATTTGTTTTAAGTTTAATATAGGAAAAGTATAGGGTGCTAAAGATCAATTTGTGGCTTTCTTTTCCAATGAACTGCAAAAATTCCACTTTTATGCCCAAGATTCTTATCATACTGTTGTAAGATCAAGAACAATATGTGAAGTTTCCACTATTATATAGCCACCCATTATATGTAGTTGTACTGGAAAAAAATCAATAGCTGATAACTTATATAGTATTTATATATATCAAGGTGCTTAAAGATAAATCCTAGTACCTGAGGAGGTGTAGAAATCATTCAAACTATTTGATTACAATGACAAACTAGTCAGTAACTTATTAAGTATTGTACTAAATATTACTAAGTATTTTACTCTTCAACATAGCTTTTTAAAGACAAGAGCTTTTCAAAATTTCTGCTCACCTGGGAGTAAAATTTGGGGAAGTAGATTTCTCCAGTGTTTAAAGAAGCCAATTCGGCACAATGTACAGGGGTTGAATACATTTTTTCCATCACAAGGGAATACATTTTTCCCATCTCTCAGTTGTTTTTCTCTGGTAACGGAGGAAATCAACGCCCATCTGTAAGGAGATAAACGTTTCAGAGTGTTTTTATATTTAAATAATTAGTATACTAGTCTAGTAAGTGATAATCCATGAATAGTTAAGAAAAGCTAAGAGAAAGAAAGAAAAGTATCCATCCTTTGGTTGCAAATAATACTTATACTGGGGTAAGGCAAAATTTAATTCTGCACAGAGGAATTTAAACCCAGGATTGCTGACTTTTTAAGAGCTGAGAAAGCAGTTATAGAGTGCAAGGCCCCACCCAGCACTCTGTAAAACTGGCAGGCCACCAACGGCCGCGTACCGGGGAAGCTGGAGGGATGACGATAACCGGGATCCCCGCCCTGGGTTCGGCTATCGTGGGCACTCGGGGCCGGCTGGGCGAAGCTCTTCAACAGCTGGGCCAGCGCAGGGCCCCTCCTTTCCGCACCTTCCCAGGTCTCTTAAGGTCCCCAGGCACCGCCTCCCTAGGGGGGAACCCTACTCCGCGCCCATTGGGTTTCCAATCCCGGCCCTCCTAGCACCGAGCAGCCAATCAGGAGGTAGCCTTCTCGAGGGGGCGGGATGAGGGGCGGTGCTGATTGGCAGAGCCTGAAGTCGCCACGGCCGCGGGGCAGCAGGCTCATTTGCCTTCCTTGGGTGGAGACCCACAAGCCGAGGCCGCCTGCAGTGTTCTGCACCGCCAACCGCACGCCATGGCTGACAGCCGGGATCCCGCCAGTGACCAGATGAAGCACTGGAAGGAGCAGCGGGCCGCGCAGGTACACCCTGAGCTTCTCGAGCGGGCCCGAGGGTCCGCATAGAAACTGGCGGCGTCGGCGAGTAACGGCCCGGCTTACCCCGGGGCGGTGCTTGGAGGGACTGTACCGCGACTCGCAGGGCGGGAGGGTCCCCTTCGGTGCAGAGGGACTGTTACAGTAGCGGGAGCAGCGGAGGGGAGTCCGAGGCGTGGGACGTAGGGCCTGGGGCGCAGGCCTGGAGGACTTGTTGTCGGCAACAGGCTCGGATGGTTGCTTCAGAATTTTGCACTTTTGCCAGCTGGGACAGAGGTCGCAGCTTGAGGACAGAATGAGGGCTCATGGGGAAAGAGGCAGAGAGCTGCAGCTGCAAGGAAGTCCGTGAGGGGAGAAGGGTAGGCTGTAACGCTGCCCTTCCTGAAATACTATTTACACGCTTTCATAGTAGTGGGGTACCAGCAGGGCAGGGATTGTGTTTTACCATCTTGATGTCTCTAGCACCGATCACAGTGACTGGTACGTACTATGCACATTATTAAACAACTAAATAAACGAATTTTGACATCCACTGTCTCATTTGCACTTCAAAATATCAAGCCTAGCATTTTAGAGCTGGGCGGTGACATTAGGGATTGGTTAATGCGTTTATTCTATTCTTTGAGTGCCTGCAGGTGCTAGGCACTGTTCCTGGGCAAGGTGTACAGATTCCAATGAGGCAAGAACAACAACCTTGAGAAGCTGAGAGTCTAGTCTGGGAGACAAGACGCATGAACAGATGATTACACTCCAGCGTAGTGAGGGCTCTAATACAGGTCATCTGTAGAATGTAGAGGCAGTGACCAAGTGGGCCGGACAAAGCATCTGAACAGGAATTTTTTTAATGAGTAGGATTTTAACTTGGTGGTCGGGGAGGCATTCCTGGCCTGTGCCCCGGGGGCGCAGGGTCTCAGAGTGCATCTATGATAGATGAGACCGAATCTGGTCTGAGTCTTCTGTTGGCAGATTGGCCTAGAGAGTCTAAAGGTCTTGCCCAGTTCCCTGGATGCTGGTTAATGGTAGGAGAACCCTGTAACCCTCTTTCCCCCATTCTGCCTAGTGTTCTTTCTCAAAACTCAGTGTTCATGAACTGGGGTTAATGCTAAGTGCTCATGGATCGCTTTAATGGTTCCCTGTTTGGGAAAAGGCTGCCATTCTCCCCTAAGAGCCTGGAAAATCTCCACTCTTGGTCCTGTCCTTTGTTATATACCATTAGGTTGGTTCATGAGCTCTTGTATATGTATAATAAAGTGAACCAGAGAGATGTAGAGTCTTAGTGAAGGATGTGCCACTAATTAGTGGCAGAGACAAGGTTAGAACTCAGCTTCTTGGGCCCAAGACTTTTTCCATAACTAGAGGGTGCTAAATCCTGGTTCACACTGAAGTTTTCATGAATACTCAGTGAATTGAGAAAAGTGTGGACAAGGTAGTGAGATTTTTTACAAAACAAAGTATTTTCATTTTTAACGGGCTCTCCTTTATTCTGAGACTAACTGCCTTTCTTGTTTGGGAGAATCATGAACTGTTCAATCATGAAGTCCCTGCTATTGATTTGCCTTATGTAGTTGCCCATGTGAGAAATGGTTGACTCACAGAGCGCATCCATAGTTGGGAAGCTCATACTTGAAATACGGCAGTCTCCTTTGTCCATGGCGTCTCTGTACACTGTGTCCATCTTCCTGATTGGCAGTCACATTGGTGTCTTGTTGTTCCTCCATTTTAGCTCCTCTGAGTGAAAACTCCTTACTTCTTTGAGGTACTTCTTCCTCCCCACCAGGGCCTTCCAAAAGGAATTATACATATGCCTTATAGTCTATATAATTTTCAAACACGTTTTTTTAATTGAAAAATTTCAAACATTCAGAAAAGTTGAAAGAATTTTGCAGTATATACCTATATATCTGCCATCTAGATTCTACAATGAACATTTTGCCCTGTGTCTTTTATTTCATGTTACTCCATTTGTCTGTCCATCCTTTCATTCATCCAATAATCCATTAATTTTTTTCAGCACATTTCAGAATAAGTTGTATGTATCAGTACACTTGACCCCTAAGCATTGAGCATGCAAATTAACGGAGTCCAGTGTGTATGCTTTTAAGGTAATATTTATATACAGTGAAGTGCATGCATATTAAGTGTACCATTCCATGAGTTTTGATAAATATATATACTTGTGAGTCCTAAACCCTTATCAAGATATCAAAGATTTTTATCACCCTGGGGATTTTCCCAGTCATTCCTTGTAATCCCCACAATCTTCGCCAGGCAAACAGTGTTTTGAGTTTTTGAATCATTTATTTATGTACTTTTTTGGTATAAGGCTTCTTTCATTCAGCAAAACTGTTGTAAGATTCATTCAAGTTTTTTCATATATTAGCAGTTTGTTCTTTTCATTGCTGAGTAAGATTCCATTATATGAATATATCACCATTTGGATATCCTGTTGCTGGACACCTGGGCTATTTCAGTTTTTTTCTATTATGAGTAAAGCTGCTGTGGCTGGTCATGGAGGTGCATGCCTGTAATCCTACAACTTTTGGATGCTGAGGTAGGAGGATTTTTTGAGCCCAGGAGTTTGAGACCAGCCTGGGCAACATGGTGAGACCCCATCTCTACGACAAATAAAACAAGTAGTCAGGCATAGTGACACATGCCTGTAGTCCCAGCTACTCAGGAAGTTGAGGTAGGAGGATTGCTTGAGCCTGGGGTGTGGAGGCTGCTGTGAACTATGATTACACCACCGCACTCTAGCCTGGGTGACAGAGGGAGACCCTGTGTTAAAAATAAAAAATAAAGCTGGTGTAAAAATTCTTATGCAAGTCTTTTTTGTGCACAGATGCTATTATTTCTCTTAGGAAATACCTAGGAGTAGATTTATTGGGTCATAAGATAAGTGAATGTGTTATGAGGAAGTGCTGAGCCTTTTCCCAAAGAGGTTGTACCATTTTATACTTTATCTCAACAGTATATGGGGGTTCCAGTTGCTCCACATCCTACTGACTTTTGGTGTTGTTAGTCTTTTACTTTTAGCTGTTGCATGTGAAGTGGTATCTCATTATGGTTTTAATTTGCATTGCTCTGATGACTAATGATGCTAAGCATCTTTTTATGTGCTTATTGACCATTGATTGGTATATGTTCCTTTGAAGTATATGTTCAGATTTTCTGTCTTTCTAAAAATTGAATTGCTTTTAAATTATTGATTCATAGCCCATATATTAAGTTAAATCATGTGGAATCATGTGTAGGCTAAGTTCTATAATAATAAATCCCAACATTTATAATGGTATAAATGTATTAGAAATTTATTCCTCTTTTACATGATGGCCCAAAGTGGTTTGAAGTTGAAGGAGGTAGGTAGGTTCTCTGCTCCCCACAGTTATTGAATAGGGCACCAGGCTGAAGGAAGCTCCCCACTGGTCAACACATGGCTTTTAAGGTTGCCCTTGGCATCACTGTCCAGCATAGAAGGCTCAGGAGCATGGAGAAGGGTATATGAGTATGGGGAGGTTTAGGGGCCAGGGTCACTTCCACTTACATTCCATTGGCTAGAACTCTATTATGGGCCACACCTGGGAAATGTGGTCTACCCCTGTCCGGGAAGCTGACTCTACTCTGTTGTCCAAAATGTACATTTCATATTTGGTGAAAATCTGTCCACCCATTTTTCTCTTGATGTGGCAATGGACCCACAACATAATCTCTTTTTAAAGAATATGTCATTTTACTCTCTGACATTAAGATATTCTGTTAGAAAATTATGACAGTAACAGGTGGTATTTAAAAAATATCTCCTCTTGCTTTGTAAATGCTTTTATATAGGTGGGCAGCTTTGTGCTGACATCCTCTCCTCCATTTCCCAATTAGTTTTGATGCTTTACTGAACTGGGAGAACTTTACATTTTGGGACTACTGTAGGAGAGCACTCTGTTACCTCCTCTCTCAAGAATCAGAGCATTCTTTTTGGAAACACAGTCAACCAATGTGAAGGCAATTTACTGGGCATTTCTTCTGTGGATCAGATTTGGTTTGCTGACAAGTGAATTGGGAGTTTGTAAGCTTTAATAATTGGTCATTGAGTCAGATGTGTTCATGAGTATGACTTGGATCCACTTAAAAATCCTTATCTCTTTTTCTCTCTTGGCAGGAAGGAAGTGGTTCTGCAGGTATTCTGTCATTTTGAAGGGAACTTAAATGGGAACTTCATTGCTGGCTGCTTAGGATGCCATGGGCTTTTCTTTTGAGATACTTACCGTTAACTCATTTCCTTTTTTTTAAGTGAAGTGCAGCTTGCTGCCAGTGCTCTTTTCTTGGGGTAAAGAGGAAATGTTAACAAGTAGCCTCTGATCCCTTTAAAATGGGAGAACTTTAGCATTTCAAGCCTTACCTTTTTATACAGTTTTCTTATTACCTAGGAGAGAGGTTAGGTCTTAGGCTATCCATTTCTGTCAGTGAGTTGCCTATGTATTATAGCCTGTATATATTAAAAATATAGGGTTTATATTTTTTAGGGTATCCCTGGTAATAACTGCATTGATGTTACACTGCCAACATTTGGGATGGAGAAGGGGTGACTGAGGGACTCAACCCTTTGTTCACATGTGCTTTTGTGTCTCCTGAGATATACCTAGGCATGGAATTGCTAAGTCATAATGTGCAGTGGGAGAGACTATGGGAGATGTAATAGAACTTTTTAAGGTTTAGTTTCTTTTTCTTAGCTTTTCCATGGTGGGTAGGTCAATGC